ATGGAAGTGTTTGAACGAGTGTTTTGGGCCTTCAGTCCTTGTATCGATGGTTTTAAACATTCTATGCCTGTTATCTGTATCGTTGGGACGCACTTGTACGGGAAGTATAAAGGAACACTTTTGGTTGCTACAAGTGTGGATGCAAGCTTCCAAGTATTTCCGCTAGCATTTGCGTTGGTTGAAGGGGAAAACACTTCCAGCTGGTCTTGGTTTCTAGGCTGCATTCGGGTTCATGTCACGCAACGAGATGGCCTGTGTTATATTTGATCGACATGCTGGGATCATTGCAGCAACGAATGATCAGGTTTTGTGTTCGCCACATGGCTTCTAACTTGAAAACTCACGTGCAAAGCAACAACACGAGAGATACGTTCAAGGTTGCTGCGTACCAAAGGAAAGAAAGAAAACTGCAAGCTGATTTGTTTTCGATTGGTCAAGCATGTACCAAATCCCTGGAGTATATTGTCCAAGTCCCGTTTCCTATGTGGTCTTTGTTTCACGATGCTGGTCGCAGAGATGGGATATGTACTACAAACTTCTCTGAAACATTTAACAATGTGTTGAAGGGAGCGCGGTTTCTACCGATCATGTCCCTTGTCGAGTTAACTTTCCACTGAGTTAACAGATACTTCCCTTTAAGAAGGGAATCTTCTGAGTCTAGGGCTGAACAGGGACTGGCATACCCTCCCAAGGTCACTACAATTCTGGAGAAGAACACCAGAAAATCTAGATGATGCGTATGACCGCCGATTGCATATTTACCAAGTTACAACAGAAAGGGGAGAGAGACTTGGTAAAAAAGGAGGCCATAAACATACTGTTAACTTTCAGTTGAGAACGTGTACATGCAACAAATCACGGATATTCCATCTCCCATGTTCTGATGTTCTAGAAGTCTGTGCAACGTGTTCACTATCAGAGCGACTGTGGGTGGACCCTGTGCTGCAATCGGAGGCATATACGAACACCTATGCACCACACTTCAGGCCTATCCCCTATGAGATGACCTGGACAGAGTACATCGGCCCTAAACTCATTCCGGACGGCAGCATAATACGAGGAAAAGGTCGGCCAAAGTCAAAGTGCATACGCAATGAAATGGATGATACTAACCGGCCACCAAGCAAATGCAGCCGCTGTCACCAGCAGGATCACAACCGGACAACGTGTCCATCTAGACTGACCAGGACCTAAGTTTGTATATGTAATTTGATGTAGTAGAATAGTAGGTTGATTTTGTATGTGATTTTGTAACATTTTTAACATTTGGATCATTTTTATTTTGAAGTTTATCATTTAAAATTTTTCGTCGTTGCCTTTAATTGCTGATCCAGTAATTGTGTTGATAATTGGTGTATAACGTTGTTAATGAACAGATATCATGGACGGAGAAGATAGGACACCCGGACTTGTTGACCCTTCTGACACTACAGGACAAACATTAGAGCGTTGACATATGGGACCAGTCGGTAATATTTCATCCATCAGTTCATGTACTTATGCATGTTAAATTGATATACTATCTAATATTAAATACGGACGTACGGTTATTTATCAGGTTGATCCAGCGAGGATGCTGGTTTGCAGGCACTACACTACAAGGGTTATTATGGCCGACTGGGTTGTTGTTCCACGCGTTATTGCGTACGTCGAGTTGGCTGGCTTGGGTGATATTCATCGGATGGCGTTCAGAGAGATCGATCGAGCGCTTATCACTACGCTCGCGGAGAGGTGGAGACAGGAGACGCACTCCTTCCATCTACCTGTTGGGGAGGCGATCGTTACGTTGCGGGATGTCGCGATACTCACGCACCTTCCTATACATGGGACTGCAGTGACAGGACATGCGTTAGTCGATCCCATCGGTTTGGTAGCTCGGGTTCTCGGGGGGGTCCCGACGAGATCAGGGGCTCCGGGTTGAGGACCGGCTTGATACGCGAGACTTTCCGTGTGCTTCTTGCGGACGATGATGATGCACGGTTTAGAGACACACTCAAGCACAGTTGTTCCTGCTCATCTCGGGCGTGTTGTTCGGCAATAAGAGCGGGAGCCATCTGCAACTTATTCACCTACATCTATTAGACCACGACTGGGATCATATTCGTGGCTACAGCTGGAGTAGTGCTTGTTTGGCGACGTTGTATCGCCACCTGTGTAGAGCATCCCACCGTGGTTCTGGCGAGATCGGTGGTCCTTTGATTGTGCTTCAGGTAACTCACCTAATTATCAACAATCTAGTTTGGCTATTACTTACCTAGTTTATACTTAACCTAATTTTGTATTTTTGTATTACAGTTATGGGCTTGGGAGCATATCCATGTAGGCAGACCAGGTAGGCCTATTGTACATCGTGAGGGGCAGTAGGACCGGGACGAGCAATACCAGGTGTACGATGCTCCACCGTTCCCTACACCTAACGAGGAGTACGATTGCAGGTTTATTATAGTTGTCATTACTTTAGAATTCATACGGTTATATTTTGCTAGTTGACAAACTAAAACATTTTTTTGGTATTAGGTGGGTGGTCCCTAGACACATGCACATGCGGCGAGGGGTCTTCCGTACTTAAAAGGAATTTGTAAACATTTATTTAATATGATTCTTGTCAGTGCACTAACCTATTAACAGTATTACTTTTGATGTGTTATTGCAAGTGACATGGGATCCGTATGTAGCTGACTTAGTTGATGCCATGCTTGCTCATCTGCTGGATCATCAGGCACAAAGTGGCGTGCCAGGACCCATGATATGTTTCGAGGTTGTGGAGAGTCACCTACCTGACCGAGTCATGAGACAGTTTGGACTACACTAGCCTGTCCACCAGGAGTCTGACATTAGTATCCGCCTGCACGACATTGACCGTCGGGGAAAGGGGGAGACAGACTGGTCAGTGGAGCGTAGGGTTTACATTGACCTATGGCAACGACAGTTAGAGTTCGTCATTGCAGGTGATCCGATCCAGGGTGTTATGGACCCTCACGATCCATACATGGTCTAGTACAGGCGGATTACACGGCGTTTCATCAACCCAAGCTATACCCCACCATCCACACATTACCATCCAGCCTTTGACGTCATTAGCGGATATGTGAGTTTATTTAATCTACTTATTTTCATCAATTTTTAAATTTTTATATCATACAACAGACTGATCGATGATTACTGCAGGCGACAGAGATGGTGGCGATGGTTGATGCACTATCAGACGCCCTTGCAGAGAGACTCACTAGAGCCCAGGTCGAGCGGGTGCATTATGGGCGTGGTTACCTTACACAGATATGGTCACGGCTATCTCGTCCACCTGCGGGACGGTCATGATGGCCACTCCGTCCATTCACAGTTTGAGTTCGGCCAGAGTAGCGGTGGAGGTGATCCTACATCACCCAGAGTCGCAGAAGATTACATCATCCATTGTTCTACGCCCACCCCTACCCAAGAGGACTCATTGTCCAGCCAACAGACTCTGCCACCACCCTGAGACACATTCACCACCATTACTGATCACAGGCGTCGTCGTCTCGGAGGGACGACAGACAGGATAGAGAATTGTTACCCCGAATAAATGAGTCAAGATAGTATTGCCTGATTTATTGGCCGTAGCCGGATTTTCTAGAATGATGTATATAACACTTACATTATTAATATAATAAATGCTTTTTGAATGAACCTGTGTGTCGTTTGATGTTTAATTTCCTTATTTGTCCAAATCGGACTTACGTCAGTCAAAATAGATCGTTCTAGGCTGATATATATCAAACACAAGACATTTGGGCTCCATAATGAGAAACGGAGTAGGAGCGATGGCTGGTGGTGGTTAATGTGGTGGTTGTAGTGTTGTTGGGGGTGTTTGGAGTGTTCTGAAGTGCTTAAGCATGGACGAAAGTCCCGGGAGGTGGTGGTTGGTGGTGGTAAGGTTAGGGTTGATGGTGGGGGTGGTTGTAGTGCTATTGGGGGTGGTTGGAGTGTTGTGAAGTGCCTAAGGGTGGTCGAAAGTGGCGGGAGGTGGTGGTTGGTGGTGGTCGACGGTGGTGGGACAGTTGGGGTTGGTGGTGGGGGTGGTGTGATGGGGGCAGAATTTGGAGTGGGGAGGTTGCTGGTTGCCGCAATCCAGCAGAAAAAACGCTGTCTGGGACAGCGTTTTATGTACAAAAAACAATTGCACATAAAATGCTGTCCCAGGCAGCGTTTAATTTAGTACAAGTTTTATGTGTATTTGATTTTTATTTTTAATTTTTTTAAAAATCAGAAATTACAAAATTTTAAACAAAAAGTTAACAAGTAACAACGTTGTCCGAGATTTTGTACTTAATTTTTTTTTTTAAAAAAAAAAACTAGGGTATAAAACGCTGTCCGAGACAACATTTTACCCCAAAAGCTTAGTTTGGTAAATAGTTTGGCCACAATTCCACTTTGCAAAATACTTTGGTAATGAAGCTTAGATTGGATAAAAATCCTTCAAATTCACTATAGGAAGCAATACCATCTTACCACAAAAAATGAACTACGATTTCATGGTCCCAAAGTTCTTAACAAACTACATTAGCATAGCATATCCTATATTCAACCCAAGATATCTCAAAACGTGCAAACCTCTACCATTTAGGAAGAAAAATATTCAAGAATACAAGTCCAAAAGTATTATATCCAAAACAAGAACAAAACAAACACACAATGCGAATTCGCCTTGATAGAAACAAAAATCTTTTTAGAGTTTTTCAAAATAAATAACATGCAAATGCATATACAAGGTTTATAATCCTCCCTAGATCCAAACAAAATTTATAATCACTTAACAAACCTAAATACAAGTATAGAGGTAAGTCAAGGGTCAAACCACTAGAAACGGTTATGTTTAAGTGCTTTCAATCAATGCCTAAGCTAGGTCGAAGTCGAAGGTGAGAAAAGACTATACAACTACTAAAACAAACAAAAATCAAACAAATGAAACACTAGGGAATGGGGATCAACGAGTAATCATGACAATTGCAACAACTTGGGAATGTTAAATTAATCAATGGTTGCGAAGACTAATGATAAGAGCTATAAATTGGAATCAAAGACCTATCTCTTAATCGTTAAGCTAGGTTTCCTCTATAAATAACAAACTAGGAGAATCACAATTCAAACCAATCAACAACTGCAAATCCATAAATGACACTCATCACCAATGCAACAAAATAGAAGTAGAAGCCTCATCACACGTATTGTATCATGAAACAGTGAGAGACCAATAGCTAACTTATCAATTACCAACTTTTATAGATAATTTTACATTAACATCCCGCTGAAATGGGCAGGAGTAGGGCAAGAAGGAGCATGATATGATACTACTAAAACTGGCATGAGATCTGCTGGGATCTGAAGTTAGCTGCTATTGGCCCAGATATCAGAAGAATTCATCAAATTCAGTGCCACCAAGATTTGCTACAAAGAACACAAGTGAAGAATACTCCATTCAGTCACCAAGACTTAATACAACAGATCACTCACAACAAAAAGTAAAAACGAAAGATTCGAATAAGGAAGCAGAGCAGGCACTTACCAGTTGCCAGTGGCCAAGAAGATAAGCTGCCGCATCATGGTAGACAACATGGAGATGTTTTTCCACGCAAAGAGAAGATCTATGACCAAACCAGGCTACCTTTTGAGTATCCTGCAGATCATAAAGACACTTATCGGTGCCCAAAAATTACACTGAAAAACATGGGTAAGTCTGAGACAGGCCTAAAGTCAAGCTGGTACAACTCACCTGTAGACCATTTAGGACTTGATCCTGGCCTAGTCCATATTTGGACTATCATGAGCTCATGGCCACCATGGACTAAAACCAAGCCTTTTTAAAAATTTAAAAAACAAAACAGAGAATAAAAAAAAAGGAAAAGGAAGGTTAAGCACTAATAGGATCTGTGTCAGGCCCGTGCCATTTCTGTACTGATTCCACCTTTAGAACACAGCTAGTCTGTTCTGGGGTGGACAGGACTGGCCTAAACTCAACCTGAACCAATCTAGCAGCCACCTCTAAATAATAAGTTGGATTACTAAAAAATTTAAAGTAAAGGAACCAAGCCAAGCCACACCAAGTATTGGTGTATGCGATCTATACCCTGAAGCATCTAGTGTTAGGCAAAACTCATACTGAGCTATCAAGCTAATTTCTTCAAGTTATTTAAAATCTCTTAGCATATGGACAAAGTTTAATTATTTAACAGGAGTAGTATTAGCGAAAAGGTATTTTAGACATATGATAGGCATGCACCACATATATCTAATATCTGGAAAATACTACCGAAGGAGGGAAAGCCAACATAGTTTTATAGTATACGGAAAGAAGTTGAAGTCATAAGGTAGCAAAACTTTTCAGAATAGCTTTAACACAGAATAACTGCAAATACTTGTCACTCCTAAAAAGAATGTTACACAGGTGCATGATTAATACTTCGTATTACATTTGAGTCAGATATGAGAACATTGAAACAATTGATAGGGTCTGAACATAACTAATCTCCTGCATTTTACAATGGAATATATTAAAAATCACATTTAACATGTTTCTTTATTCTTTTGCTTATATTTTAAGATAAATCTTTATTGTCTCAATTGCAGTGATAGTGCTTGCAGGATAAAGAGTTAATGTATATGTTGATGCTCTTTATACATAAAATATCTAATGACCACCCAGGAGGTGATCTAAGCAAGTGATTTAGTTTCAAACCTCAAACAATTAGTACATTTTATGTTAAAATCAAGATGACTGTCACTGAGAAGGCACACTTTAAAGCATCCTAAAATACTTGTAGTTCAAAATAAAAAATGAATTTTTGGCTGTACATAAACAGATGAAAAGATGGAGAAAATAAAATCACAAGCACATTTACTATTACTACCAATAAGTTATGGCCTAAAAGGCTACAAGTACCCACAGAAAAACGAGCACAACAGTTAATAGGTATTCTTCCAATTCAAGAAAGATTCCCAAAGACTTCAAAAGATACATCCTTACCACATGAAGTTTCCTAATAGTCATCCCGGTTCTCACCAGCCTCACCACTAGTTATTTACACTCGTTCCGTCCCCAAATAAATGTCTCATTTCACCAAATTTATGTCTTTATATAAAAGTCTCATTTCATCTTTATCAATTTACTCCATCTGTTTTTAAATAAGTGCATCACTTCCTTAAACGGAAATATCCATATATAATTTATTATCTCTCATCTCCACTAACCCCACTTGTTCTTGTGCGAATAAAATATTCACTCATTTACTCTTTATTAACATGTTATATTTTTAAATCCACCCACTAGCACACTACCAAAAAAAGGACACTATAAAATCATTTACTAATATCACATGCATAACACTTAAATATATTTAATACGAAGTAAATAGTATAATTTTACTTCGTATATCATATCATCTATAACTATTATATGAAAACACACACCATATATATACACCACATGTCCACATGTCCTTTTTTCACCCTTTGAATTTTTTGTTATAAGTTTTTTCTTTTAGAATTTATGGAAAAAACTTTCACATTTCCTCTTGCCTTAACACTCTAGCTTTCCCTATTATTCAACATTTAAATCCTTTCAACATTCTTCATTAATTGTATTCATTTCCCTATTTCATACAAGTAATTCGTTTTTTCCCCCACTCCTTAACTTTCATTAAATTAATTGATAGATTTTCAATCACAAACAGTTACAACATTTTTCCTAAAATATTCATATTAATTTTCCTATATATCGCCTGCACATGCACGGGCCAAAAGGCTAGTTTATAATAAAGCAACAAATCGCAAATATCTCAACGTTTTAAGTGTCCCCTCCCCTATCCTCCCCTCTCTTCTTTCTAGGGTTTTTATTAATTTTTGGCCTAAGGAAATTAAACTATTTCCAACTCTTACTCTTGTTCCTCCATATCATTTCAATTTAGGTTTCAATAAATCTACACACATAGTGGAGATGTTCGCTCGTTACCCTATGGTGGAGTAGTTAATCTTTGTTGGTTTATTTTTTTTATTTTTTTTGGCTTATTAAAAAAAAAAGTAATCATCTTTTGCCCTATTTTTAGTTCTTTGGTATTGATTTGTTCGAAATCGTAATGGTTATCAAATTTTCAAATACATTCAAGTGAATCAGATAAAAATCATCCTTACGTAGCTTACGGCTAAAACAAATCGTTAGGCCGTCTCTTCAAAAAGACCGTATATTCCAGCGATGTCTGTGATGGATGTACCATATTCCAAGATCTATACAACGATCATAGCTTTGATGAAGGAAACATTTGTTTTATTTTTATTTTTTTATGTATTTGTTAATTTAGATTTCATTCGTAGATTTCATGACTTTTTATTAATGAATAGATTTTGTTAATAAATAAACATTTTTGTGAAGTGGGTGAACAAGAAAGGAATGGATAGTCAATTGAATAATAGTCCATCTGTTTTAGAATAATTAACACAGTCAAACTTTGTACACATGTCGATGTAATAGTTTGACCTAATTTTCATATAATTAACTATCAATAGAAATTATTTTAAAAAAACAATAATAAATAAATAAAAAAGGTTATATTATGAAACCTTGTATTAATATATACCTCACAACCTATTTCATGATAAAATATGTATTTATTGCGTTTATAAAAAAACTATAGTCAAACTTAATACATGAATAGTAAAAAAAATTCCAACGAGCCAGTGTGGGAAACTGGGACGAAGGGAGTAAGGTTTCGAATATAGTACCTATTATAGTTGATGGATGGAAATATAATTTTTTGGGAGCTTTTGTAATAAAATATCAAATTGTTGTAAACAAAGACATAAAATAGGTTAGAAAACCACGTATTCATCCCTTTAGCAAAAAAAATCTAGAACTCCCATTTTAAAATTATCTTTGAATTCAATTCTTTCATTGGAAAAGGTGTATATTTTATTATGGGCTATGTGACTACTACTAGATTATCTCTAAAGATAGATGGGTCTCCTCACAAATACTTAGAATCTAAGAGAGGATTCAAACAAGGTGATCCTCTCTCGCTCCTCTTTGTAGTATGTATTGGAGGTGAGAAAAAAATTAAGGTGCCTAGAAACTATAGCTACGAGCCTACTAATAACGGGTAATACAATTGGGAACATCTTGCAAAACTTTTAGTTCCGGCTCTCAAAATTTGAAATCAAGCGATTCAAACCTATTGGGTACTTCTTTAACACAAGTTCCAATACTAGGTACCTAGCCATATAGAAATGTTATTTTAGCTCTAATCATAAATCAATCCAATCCCCCTTTGGAGAAAAAAAAAAAAGGAAGAATAACAATTAAAGCCAAATCATAAAACCATCTAAGGTCAAAGCATATAATACATTTTTTAACTAAAAAAAAAAAAAAGAGAAATTTGATAGCAGTTTATTCCAGTACTTAGTTTTAAGATAAATGTAGTGTTTCCCCTTTATTGGAAGTTGCATAATAAGTGCACGATCACTACTTATGGAAATGATATCTCTCTATCTATCTCATCATCACATGGGACCACATTTTTATCGTTAAATTCTCTACAAAAAAAAATTGTACTTCTCCTACATGTTGCACTTACAAAAAACAATGGAGGAATTATATGAAATGCTTGGGCAGTACCTAGTGGTTCCGCCATTCTGGTTCAGATTTTAAGAAACCTATTGCAACTGGTTCTGGTTATGGAATTTTTACAAGGGAACCTATAAGTATGGAGTAACTTAAGATTCTAAGGAAGGTGAGGGTATGCATGGGTTTAAGTGGTTCAAGTAAGCTTATTCGTTTACACTTTGCTGATGCTATGATCAAATTTAATAAGAGAGATTTTTTACAAAATCCATATGTTGCTTTAAGGGTACAAGTTTTTCTCCCAAATATGTGTTAAGAGCAAATATTAGAATTTTGTTATGTATTGTGCTAGGATGATCAGGTATAGAAAATTATAGATTTTTCAGGTTTAGTTGAAGGAAACTTCACCCTGCCTATCTTTTTTAAAACTCTGATTGTGAGTGATTGATAAGATGCTGGCTAGAATCCATAATGGAGTCCAAGACGATTTTTCCTTTCCAGAATGGTTGCAACTTAATAACCGGATCCATGCAAACTGGGCTTAGGTATTTGTATTGCCAAAAAAGGTTCTTAAAACAACTGAGTCTAGTGGTAAACCCAACTAGCACTTTGGGGAAGGGGATTCTCTTACCCTTTCCTCCCACTTACATAAGGCAAGTAACTCAGATGAGTTGACCTATGCGAAATTCTTCATGGCGTCTTCTGCTTACCTACCCCACTAAAAATGGGTGCTGATTTTAGCTCCAAACTAGAGTATATAGCATGGGGAAAGGTGTGTATTGCAACGAGGGAGGAAGGCTTGGGAGCGAGGAATGTGTAAGACATTTGGCTAAGTTTGGGATGTTCCTAATAAAACACACTTTATGTGGGTGAAGTGCGTTAATGCCATTTATATCAAAGAGGGCACAGGGTGAAGTGCGTTAATGCCAATCAAATATGGCACTGGTAGCTCTACCAAGGCACTAGAGTTGGCACCTTAGGCCTGCCATGCACAAAGACCTACAAAAGAAGTGCACCTATGCGTTTTTTCATAGACTTCTTTTTGTGCCTTTGCGCCTTATATTGTGCCTTGTGTTGTGAGGTGTTAAAAGCTTAAGTGTAAGATGATTTTTAAGATCCCAAATGACTTTGCAATGGTTAAATTTACTTAAATACTAGAGGAGAGAAACCCCATATCCCCAATTCCATTTGAAGAAACCTAGTAATCAATCACATGGGTCTTTCCCCTGTTTTGAAAATTCTTATTTTAAGATTTATTTGATAATTACATCGTTCTTTTTAAGCTGATGAATTTCTTTTATCATGGTTGCCAAAGCAATTCAACAATTAATATCTATATATATCAATAAAGTAAAAATCATGAAAAGTTGATAAATTTGAAAATAAACATTGAAACAAATCTAACAAGACCCCACAGATGACTATGTTTTGTCATAGTTATAAATCACATAAGATAGTTAAACTACAGTTTGTAAATAGTGTCAAAAAGCAAAATGTGTCGGACTAAAAAAGACCAATGGAAGTAGAAATTAAATCTTTTTTATATAATAAAGTACCCCTCACCTAGAAAAGGCGCGCGCCTTTGCCTTGCGCCTAGGCTCCAAGGACTCTTGTGTGCCTTGGTGCGCCTCGCGCCCTTTATAACTAAGTTTGGTGATATTATTTGCTTACTCTAAATAACTTACTAAAAATAAATAAAATAAAAAATTAATAAAAAGTGTAGTCATTTATTTAAATCACTTTTCTACACCGGCACGTTGAAGTAAAAAAATTAAAAAAATAATAGTTAAAGAGAGAAATAAAGAAGAAGAATTTCTAATTTTCTTAATATTCTATTCCTTTGTAGTTCCGCTAAACCAAATCGGAAACCCACATGTTTAAATTGTATCTCTTTAACATATACTTCCCCCGTTCCCAAATATTGCAACAAGGGGGAAAGACAAGAAAGATTAGATGATGAGAGAAATAGAGAGAAATAAAGATAGGAACCCATGTGATGAGGAGAAATAAAGAGAAAGCATGTACATATATGGTAATGTTGCAATATTTGTGAAACTTTCTAAAATGGTAATTGTTGTAATATTAGGGGAACGGAGGAAGTATAACACTAAGTATCTATATAACTATAAGTAAAAACTACAGAGGGGTTCGTATTTCGCTATGAGATATGGTAACGGATTTCGGATTAATAGAATAATGAACAAAAATTAATTATTACTCATTAAATTAATTTTTTTAAAAGCTTTGTTCCAAATAAATATCAAATCATCCATTGAACGGGTGCTATACCAGTCTATCTCTATAGGATATTTAAAGTGCAACTTTTATATAAGTAGTGCCCATGGCCACAAGCTATCAACACTCCATATGCAAGGACACAAAATTCCAGGATATACTTCTGTTACAAACAGCATACAATAACAATCTCCTATGAATCAACAATGGCAGTTGAAGGTGTTCAGTTTTAATTATCTGTTGTGAAAGGCTGCAAATCACCAACATATACCTTGATTGCCTTCCTAGTTAAGTCTTACTTTAGACATGACTGTTGTATGGAGAAAATAACTTAAGTTAAATATACTTTTTTTATTTTTACTCGTATGCATTTAATATAAACAAAATTTAAATTGTTCAAAAGCAGTGAACTTGTAAAAGTGAGATAATTGCTACACTTACAGTGGCCAGAATGTTGAGTTGACTGCCCAGGATCTATGAGACTTAGCTCCATGTCATGCGTTATTGTCCAACCAGGTTCATAAGCTTCAAGAAAACCTATCTTTGCTTTGTTAGGCAGATCATGAGGATGAACAAATGGGACCCCTGGAGGCCACCCAATCTCCATTCTTATATTAGCACAAGGGCTGTCGAGTGAATGAATATGACTTTCACACTCTTTCAGGCTGCAGAATCTCAGCTTGATGCCCTTCTTATCTGCAATGTCTTGAACTCTCTCTTTGAGAACTCTTTGTGCCTCAAGCCTTAACCTCTTAGAAGGTGGCAATGGTTTGCACTTTGTGTCATTCTTCCTTCTCTTAATTAAAGGCTTCATTGATCCTGCACCAGCATGTCATCCATCCAAGAACCTGCTGTTATAAACTGCTCACTAAAAGGTAATTTGGAGTGTTGGGGGAGGGGAGGGGAGGGGTGGGGTTTAAGTTCTCATGAAGGAAGAAGCAAGAACATTAAAGAATATATAGAGGAATGCTATTTTCCGACAAACATCTCAAGTTTAACATGATACCATCTGTTTCTTTTGCTAAAATCACATACCAGCTGAAACAATCATGATATGGAGATGTCTAAATTTTTTAAGCAGATCAGACAAATTAATATTCATTGTAGACTAATAGAGCAATGCTGCAGATTCCAGGCTGGCAACCCTATTATTGCTGCAACAAGGTTGGCGCTAGTAACTTGTGGTAAAAAGGGATGTGGGGAAGAAGTTGGTGAATAAGGGATCTTTTGAAAATCAAGGATAATGGATTAAGCCTAAAGAGTAGTATGATTGAGGCATAAGAGGAAGTATGTGCTGAAATATCGGGAAGGCTCAAGGGATATTTACTTACAAAGATTTTGGACCTGTTCCCCAAATAAAGCAATTTTGCTTGGAGATAGCTCAGCTACGAATTCTCGGCTTTTCCTAGTATTTAATTACTTGATTTTGACCACTATCTTGTAATCCAAGGGTTTATTAATTTATCTAGGGCTTTACTTTATTCACTTGTACCTCTTCATATAAGATTCTCTTAGGTTGTAGAAGTAGATTTTTTGATATGTTATGAATTGATGAGATTTTCTCCCTTACTACAACTTTGTGAGCATTTCTTTATGAAATAACTAAATATTTGTGATTAATCAATCTGTAATCAAGCTTTGTGTGAGATTAGTGATTGTAACCTTATTCTCTTTGAACGTTGTGATGGTTGACACAAGTTCGCTTATGGGCATCATGGTCTTTTGTCAAGAAAAACTTCCCAAAATAAGAAATGGTGTAATTACTATGATATTCCCAATAAGGAATATGGTGCAGCAATTTTCTCAATAGGGGAAGTACTTTGACTTTTTATTTTTATTTAATTACCTATAAAGGAATTGTATACACAGTGTTCTAGAAATCAAAGAGCTTATCTCCTTATCACTTAGTTTTATACTCCCTCTATTTCGTAATAATCGCAATAGTAGGTCTTGCACAAAGTTTTAGGAAATATATAGGGTAGGGATTATTGAATGAATTTTAAAATATAAAGTATAGTAAGTGAGGATATATTTAATTGTTAGTAGGAGAGGTTTTTTCTGCAAATATTCAATTTTATTTTTAGTTTTATCAATGAGGTTAGTAGGAGAGAGAAATAATAATATATGTATGAAAGTTTAGTAAGTGAGATAGAGAAATAACAAAATAGTAGTGGATCCTTACCAAATTAGGAAGTGTTGCAATTACTATGAAGCAGAGGTGAAAGAAAAGTGTTGCGATTATTACGAAACGGAGGGAGTAATACTTATGTATAAGTTTAGACCGTAACTAAATGTTTTCTAAACGTTGATCCTTCTTCCATTGTCTATGACAAAGATAAATTTTTTCTTCCATTTTCCCTGAAGAGTTATTCAGACTTCAGGGAACCCACAAGAAGCACAGCTTAACATCCGTAGACCAAAGGACAAATGAGGTTGTTAACAAAGGGTTGGAATCATGTTTGCGATGTTTTGTGAATAGGAAACCCATCAGCTGGGCTTGTTGGTCCCATGGGCAACACACTGCACTCCATTCAAGGCTCTCTATGGGAGAGACCCTCCACACTTGATCAGGTTTGCTGCTGGCAGCACTTTCCTTTCATCTCTAGAGGAACAGTTACAGGTACGGGATGCTATTTTGGATGACCTAAAGTATCATCTGCAAGCTCAGGTGTTCATGCAGCAATATGAGAATAAGGCAAGAAGAGATGGGCTACTTGAGGTAGGTGACTTGGTCTATCTCAAGTTCCCGCCTTATAGGCAGGAGGCAGGTGAGAAGCTGTCCCCTCAATTCTATGGTCCGTACCCACTGCTACAACTCACTGGGAAAGTATTATATAAGTCGCAATTACCCCCACATGCTAAAATCCACCCAGTTTTTCACATTTCTCAACAGAAAAAGGCAGTGGAAACTGGGCTGCAACCCAGCCATCTGCCTAATTAGCTCACTTCTGATGACACCAGGAGAGAGGAGTTCTCAGCAGCCATAGAAGTTCTGATCAAGTGGAAAGAACTGCAAGATTTTGAGTCTACATTGGAGGAATATGATGAAATTGACGGCAGATTTCCCCTCATCCACCTTGAGGACAAGGTGCTTCTTTGGGAGGGGGGGAATTGCAAGATATCAGCCCAGTGCGTTTCACATATGCTCAAAGAAGGCCCAAAATGAGGTCTGGAAACTGATAATGAGCTGGAAGTTAATTGATGGAGTCAGCTGTGGAGGGGCAAATGAGTAATTCAGGGGCTAGTTTGTTATTTGGTTTGTTATTACTTGTTTTATGTGCTGAGTTTGTCAGCAAGAAGTTTGTTGGTTCGTTTTTGTAATAAATAGAGAAGTTGTAGGGAGGGAAAGGCATCAGAAAAATATAGTGGAGTCAATTCCTTGGGAGGGAATCCTTTCCTCTCGAATGAAAGGAATTGTATTGTTGATTACTCTCATCTGCAATACAATCTATCAATTTGGGGTGTCATTTTCTTTCTGCTTTGCTTAGAATTCTGTCTGTACTGATTCCTAGCAAAAATTTACCCTTGTAATTAAACAAACTATAACCAAACTTCGTGTGAGATTAGCTATTGAAACCTAGTATTCTTCAAATTTTGTGATTGTTGAGACAAGATTTACCATTTTTGCTCGCTCATGTTATCATTTTATGATTTTAATCCTTGAAAACAAAAGTCAAACAACTTTATAATATGTTAATTAATTTGTTGATGATTTCAAATCAAAATAGTAGGTTATTGACATAGAAAAAGATCCTTAGTTAATTTTTAAATATTTGAATTTCACTCTTTAGTTTTCTCTTTAACTCATTTCTGTTTCTCTTTCTCTTTCTCTCTTCTCTTAAATTTACCTAAAGCTTTTACCTTTAGTTTCATAAAGTTTACAACTTTCATCTTTTTCTACCAAGCTGTAATTTCTAAATTCCATAGTAATATAGAAGATAGATATGTGTATAGAAATGACTTAATGAAGATCTAAGGCGCAAAACATAGAAAGAAAGGCTGATAAAATTCTTAGAGCATTAGAGGACAAAAGCTTATGGGAAAGCTTTAGAAGAATGGGACAAGTAAAGGTGAACACTTTAAGGATTCCTCATAGTGATCATTAGTATATTACATCAAGTTCAAGCAACCAAATTTTAAAGGTAATCTCGATCTTAATCAATTTTTTCATGGAGTTAGGAGTCTAGATAATAGCCATCATTGGAAAATTAAAAACAAAAAAAATGCTTCTTTATGCTATGATAACCTAAGAAATCCTAGGATGAAAGAAAGACCAAAATTATTAAGAACTTAGAGAAACATAAGCATAAGGCCATTGTGCAATTGTGCCTATATACTATTTGCATAGATTGAATGCCCTTGAGCAAGGGTCAATTGGTTGTGAACTACACTAGGAAGATTAAAAGGCTTTCTATTAAATATGACATTAATGAGACCCCAAAACATCACTACTAGATATATTGGACAGAATAAGATGGAACTTAGCCAAAAGGTGGAAGTTCATGGTCATGAAACTTTTAATCTTTGTTGTGCAAAAATGTGTTAAATGTGTGAAGCATGATAAGACCAAAACCCCTTAAAAATCCACATTGAATGGAGAATCTTCATTATAGGAGAATGAGAATAACATGGTTGTTATGCTGATCGAATGGAGAATCTTCATTAAAGGGTTTAATAGCTCTAAGTCTTAAAGGAAATGATTCCATGATATGGCAATGCTACAAAAATCCCTAATGCCAAAAAAGATAGTATTTATCTATTGAAAGGTTCAACAAGAAGAACAAGATATTAAGAAAGAGGTTAATTGGAACCCTTTGAAGAGTTGGTCATTCAAGCCAATGTGGATCTGCTACTCTTCATTTTGATAAGTATGTCGACGAAGAAGAGTAGGACAACCTTATTTGTACACACAACATCAATGGGTAGAAAAGAATGTAACAAGGAAGTTGTGATCAATCACAAGAACAATCACTTGATTGTTGTTTCATATGACAATATCAAAGCTTCTTTGATTGTATGCCACAAACTAGGTATCATTAATTCCCTTGCCTCAATCAATGAGCTTGTACGTGTTTAGGCTCCAAACAAAGCATGATTAGTGAGGAAAAAACAAATGAATACTTTGTAGCTTTCTTTGTTCGGTTGCATTAGTAGTCCTTATGCTTCTTGTGGAGTGAATGAAACAAGTAGTGTTTAAGCATTCCCATGCATGTAAAGTTGGTTATGATCTTGTCCAATATGGTAATTGGTCCTTGTTACTTGGATTCCACAACGAAGTATTTTTCCCTTCGTGCTTCGGGCTAGTTTGATACACATACACTCATCGAGTTTGTGGTTAGGACATTTAACCGTGTGGGTGGATATGTTAAATGAATATAAGTTGTTGATTAAAGTTTTATGGTTCTCAATAACTATGTCAAATTGGACATGTTGTGTAAAGGTTTTGTAGTCACTTCATGATGTCAATTCCATTTAAGAAAGATACTTAGCGATATAAGTTCAGGTCATACTTTATCGTTTTATGTGTGACATTTTATTACTAAATATCTTTAATTTTGTAATAATTTTTTTTTTTTTTTAAAATAACATATTCCGATAATACACATTATTACAAATTCAATAAGACCCCATTTGATATATTTTTTCCTAAAAGATCAACATATATATAAGGTCAAACAATCAAATCAGATTAGAAAAATAATTAAGCAAAAATAAGGTGAGCTAAGCTTATCCTAATATGATTAATCAATAAAATATCAAATTTTGGGTGAAATTTATGATTATTGAGATTTAACCCTATTCTTTTCAAACTTTGTGGTAATTGAGGCAAGATTTACCCATTTTCTACTTTTTTATTTCCCCCTTATAGCACAAAAACCCTAAATTAGTCTCTCCAAAAGTGAGCAATTTCAACATGTATTGATTTAATTGTTGATGGTATAAACATCACATACTCCCATGTATTACCAAAATAAAAATATGGCTTTATTTCTTACATCCCCTTACTTTTTACTCTCTCTCTTAACCACTTGTTTTATAACTTTCCTGGAAATAAATCTACTCCTACTGTCCCATAATACTTGGGACGTTGGGGTGGACATGTAGTTTAAGAAAACTACAATTGGGTTCATTTAAAACATTTATTTAGTGTATAAAAGATTCTCTTTTGTATTTTTATATTGTAAGAAAACAAAAAGTGAGGGAGGTGGGGGTAGTGAGGAGAGAGAAAATGTAGGATTTAATTGGGTTTTGGGATTTGTGGCCCCAAAGAGAGTATAGGAAAATATTTTTTTATAAGTGGTCACATTCCATATCTAGTAACGTGTCAAGTATTTTGGGACGGACGAAAATGGAAAACGTGTCAACTATTGTGGGACAGAGGGTGTATATAGTAATTGAGTCAAACTTTCGGGAAAGCTATAATACTAGAAATCATGAATGCCATATACTGGATATTAAATCAGAATAATTACCGTCATGCGCATGTGGGAAATTAAAACTTGGCACACTTTGTCGGTTAACATGATTATCGGTAGGATGTGGTCTTTGCATAAAATCATCTACTGGTATCGGAAGCTGAAACTGTGCTTCAACTCCATGACCAGCAGCTCTCATCTCTGAACAACTAAGATTGGTCATTGATTTTGGCATAAGTTTAAATGTTACAGAACATCGCCCATGAATGTTACTCTGGGGATTATTGATTTCAATCCTATGAAGTGCAGGGTTGATGTAACCAGCAGTTGCCTGATACAATGCTAGTCCAGGATAAATCACTGCTTCTTGTGGACCAAGATCTCCATCCACAAGAATCCATTGACCCTGGAAATCCCTTATATGCAAACCTGCCTTATCTGACTTCACAATAGATATTAAACTCTTGTCTGCGGGATGTTCATGCTCAGAAAACATGATCAAACTACCATCTTCTTGGCTTGTCAAATTATGATGTTGTGCTCCGTGAAATGTAGGCCTAGCTTGACAGCAGACAGACAGGACGGAGGAGGATACTTCTCTGCTTCTCAGAGGTACATTATCAAGAATCTCAGTAAAAGGTGAGCTGCGCAAGCTCAAATTAAAGCTTATGGCATCTAATATTTCTCTAGCTGCTTTTCCTAGCAGCGCAAAAATATCAACCAAACCAGCTGGAGAAAAATCAATTTCGTTTCCTAATTCTGTCGGTGTCAACCCTGGTCGAAAGTCATAACTTTCTTGCCAGAGCTGAGGATCTGCATAATAACCAGATGTTTTGCACCACTCTCTAGACTCATTGGTATGAATCATATCTTCAGAGGGATATGAAGGTCTATGGTGAAAGTAGAGACGCGCAGATTCCATACAAGATCGTAATAGAGCACCATCCCCAACAGGGAGCTGAACAATGGCAGCAGAATACTGGGCTAATGACTGACATAAAGTCGATACGGATACTTTGTAGGAATCAGAAGGAAGGCCTTCTTTGGCTACAAGATCAGAAAGCTTTACGCGGCCCAATGTTGGCAGGCCATTGCCTGCCATTAACCAGATGCCAAATACGAAATTCAGCAGGGAGATGATAAATTAACAGAATTTTCTTGATAGCAAGCACTGCAACAATTAAAAAAAAAAAAAAAAAAAAAAAGCATTAGACTAAATTCATCAAACAGTCCCATAATCATAGTTCAGTTCTAACACTCAAGGGTTTTGCAACACATTAGCACAAATTTGACTCAATAATCCAGCTAAATTCTTGTTGATCACGAATAAAAATATACGATTAGCAAAATTCTAGCTTTTCAATGATTAAAATATAACCTATAGTTCAATAATTCACCTTATAAGAACCCTAAATTGAATTAAATTAAAATTTTAACTCTAGATTGTGAAAATGTTATTCGATGAATTAGGAAAAACATCTTACCAGCGGTTCAGTGAAGGAGAGAAATCTCACAAGCCGCTTCAATGGAGAATTCAGTGTAGTTGCTTCAATGGAAGAAAGACAGGGAGGGGTGCTATATTTTAATTTTTTTTTTTTTTTTTTTTTGTTTCACAAGTACGAGTACAAAATAATTTAAAGGCAGGATTTACTTAAATGTGTTAAAAGACAATATTACTAATTTTATAATTTAATATATTCCACTTTAATTTCATTCTTAAATTACATGGCCCATTTCCTCCATTTTTCTATGTACGACATGGTTTGAATCCTTAAGGACCTTAACCTATTAAAAGTGAGAACTTGTAATTTTACCTTAAGAACAAAAATTTTACCTTTTTACCCTTAAAATACAATGCTTGCCACGTCATTCACCTTTTCTTCATTTGCCTCCTTACCATTCCTTTTACCTTGCTTTTTCAGATTTCTCTCTCATGGCTATCTAATTCTATCTTCTCCATTTTCACTCTCCCATAGCTATCATCTTCTTCCTTGCTCATTTAGTCATCATCTAATTGTCTCTTCTCTTTCAATTTTTAGTCCATAAATAACAAGTAAGTGGGCACCGTAGTATTGAGCTAGAGGGGTGCTTTCTGATGGTGTAGGGGTGGTGAAATCGCCAGCTTGCTGCAGTGGCTTTGATCATCGGCGACGAGTAGCTGAAAAAAATTGTTGTGAAGTACTTCGGCCTACCGCACTTTAGCTATTCTATCTTACCAATCCAGCGAATTTTCGAAGGTTTTTTTTCATCTGGGTTCCATTTTTCTTCTCTGGTTTCAACTGGGTATGTTTTACTTCTCCCATTCTTCGATATTTTAACTAGGAAACTATTTGGAGTATTATATATTGACGCCATATTGCCATTTGCATTCGAAAAGTGAAACTTACGTTGCTGCAATATTTTCTTGAAATTAATATGCTTATTTTCTTATTTAATACCATTTTGTTTTGATAATTGTATCCTCTATAAATAACAATATAACAACTGTAGTGTATACTTATAAACTAAGAATATATATTACTTGAAACCTCCCCACGCTACTGGCAATCTCAAGAACTTCCTCTAACCAAAAAAAAAAAAAAAAAAAAAAATTTATTTTGATTTGATTAGAAAAGATGTCAAAAAATAGGACACATATGAAATAGTAAAAGATATTGGGTTTGATAATTTTGATGTTGCTAAGCTAAAAGATAAACAACTAATGAGTTCCTTGCTATCAAGTTCAATGAAAGAGGTCAATTCTCTGTTTAATATAATTCCTTAGAATAATGTTTGCAATTATGTTGATCATATTTTAGATGATTCTAGAACCTGTATGGTATTATTCCTTTTGGAAAATTAAATTTTTTTGGGTAATTTCTCTGTATGGGTCACTTCTGTGCTGGTACTTAGAGTAATTTATTGTTTGCAACTAACATTTTCCCATAGCTAAGAAATTGAGTGTGAAAGCTCAAAGCTCTAATTTGACTAATACTGCTAATTCCTACAATATGTTCTTTTCTTAATGAATTAAGGATTAATGTAGATAATGATTTGCATCTTTATGGTATGATCACTTTTCTGAAGTGAAGGAATTGAGTAGTACTTGAACAATTTGAATTTTCTTGATTGTGTTGTCGATTGCTAAGTGCAGTGCTCACTATCAGTATGAAACTATATAAATATCTCTTACACTCCATTTTTTCCTTTCCTTTTTGAGTTCTCTGTCATTTCACCCGTTAATTCAATCATGTTCACTTTAGTCCAGTACAATCCATTCTGGTTTACTTCATTTCAAGTTTCAACTCAACATTGTTTTTGTCCTTTCATGGCCATGAAATTGAATAATGCTTAATTTAAGCAATGTTAATTAATCATCTAAAGAAAAAATTACCATGTTATCAATAAAAGGAACATTCAAAGTAAATTATGAATATATTTAGCCAAATGAAATTACAAAGGATTGAGTTAAATCTTGAACAACTGATTTGTAATGCTGAAACAATAAGAAAGAAGTGGGAATGAGCGTTGTTTTGGAAGGTATGCTGTTATATTGTACTCTTTCTAAATTTCCCTTGTTTTTTTCTCTGTTTTCCAGTTTTGATACTACTTTTCTTAGTTTAACAAAAATGATGCTTCTATATTATTATTAGGTTTTTTAGTGTCATATAAATATTTAACCAATGGTGGCATACTACAAATCAAGACCATACTTTCAAAAAGCCATGCAACTCAGTTAGTTCCTGAACCTCTTAGAATCAATCCAAACTTGTAGAAGAAATCTTACTGAGGGACATTTATGTCACTCCTAGACTAGGTTTTATGGTGCCGATTTGTTTCGGGTGCTGTTGTATCTAAGTGCAAGAGTAAAGCTGTTGTTTTATGGTAGAATTAAAGCTTTTGTTTTATGATTATTATTTTTAGGGGTTAGATTACAGGCTGTTTTTACAGGTGCTTTAAATTTGCAGTTTGAATTGATATGTTGACAGAACTAATTATGCTGTTGTATTGTTATTTATTTCAGATGACGTCTTAGATTTGTATCGGTGAAATGCAGATGACTGAATATATATGTATATACTGAAAAAGTTTAACTAATGTGTTAATGAAATGGGTACAGTCTCTAAACTATTGTTTTCATATATATATATATATATATATATATATATATATATATATATATATATAGCTTATGATTGAGTTTGTTAAGAAAAATGATGAAATTTTGGCAGGTAAGGTATTTGATTATCTTATGTGAAAATAGATGTCACTATAAGTTGTTTTTGCTATGCCTTCTTAATTAGTGTTTTATGGTATTGGTTATAATGAATCTTTATACTGATGTGTTACTGCCCGTTGAGCATTTGAACTATAACTAATTTATCATTTTCTGAAATCTCTGCATTGACGAATCAATTCATAGGTGTTTTTCAATGGAAAAGTAGTTACTTGTACACTTAGCTCAAAAATAAGTTTGAGGCATCTATTACATCAGCAACAAAGTTCATTGCTATCTCTTATTACAATAAAAAGATTTGTAAATTATACTCATAGATAAACTATTTAACATTTGCTTTTGTTTTAATTGCATGAATAGATCCTTTTCTTAGATCTACAACTCGCTATAGCAAGAGGATAAGGATAGTTGGATCATTAAGTGACGAGGGTTAAATCGGTCGCTACAATCTAACTCTCAATCAAACAATACTTATACGAACACCCTATAACCAAATACAATGGCAAATAAAGGTTCGGTCCACGAGGAACGAGAGTAATTGCAAATCAATCTTAAACCTAAGCTAGTTCGAAATCAATGGAAAATGCTGTTCTAAAATACTACTAATAAGATGGAATAAATCAATAAACTAAGACACTAGGGAGAACGGGAATCCGCCTAACCATTGGTAACTAAGCAACAAGGAATCACAGAGACAAACGGGATATGCAAAGACTATAAGTCTGATCAATATCATGTGATAGGAAGACAACGGGCAATACTAAGCTTGGATTTCTCATGCACTTAACATTACTCGATACATAATCAAACCACATTCAATAATGAAATACTCAATTTACAATCTCTTGTTCAAATCAAGAATATCATGCAATCAAATTCAAGATTCTAGGTTAGCTACTCCTATTATAATGAATTAACATGCAATCGCATATAATCAATTTAATCACAATCCGTTTATCAAAATCAATCCTCAATTACATAGATTACCTAGGCCGAGTTTCATCCCGAAACCCTAGCTAGGAGACTACTCACACATATTCATAATCAAAGCAATAATGAATTCCAAAAGCATAATAGATATAAACATGAATTCTGATTAAGGAATAATAAAGCTTGATTAATAAACAAGAATGAATAATAACAATTGTATTGATGCGAATCAATGGAAAAGTTCAGAACTTTGATATCCGTCGTCAATGAATAATACAAAGAATCTTCGCAAATCTTGCTTCAAATCAATCCAAGAAAACTAAAATCTCTAGAAATATCTTTAAGAAAACTAATGAATCTCTAATACTAAGAACGTTCTCCAATAACTCTCTACAAAGGCTCTCAAAACTATCTCTAAAAAACTGTCTGAGGAATCCTCTTAAAGTTGGGCCTTATATACGTCTTCTAATGCAGAGAAGTCAAGCGCGCAGTTAACCCTGGATCAGCACGGCCGTGCTGTATTTGGCACGGCCGTGCTAGCTTGTCAGTAAGTAAACCGGATTTCTTCTTCAAATTGGCACGGCCGTGCTATATATGGCACGGCCGTGCAACTTCCTGGCACGGCCGTGCTAAAAATGACACGGCCGTGCTGAATATGCTCTAGCACGGGGCTCATACTGAAGCTGACACGGGCACGGACAACATCTGGCACGGCCGTGCTAATGGCCTGCACGGCCGTGCGGGTGCGTGGATACTGACACGGCCGTGCTATTGGCTTGCACGGCCGTGCTGCCTTGCCTGGGGTTGCTTGCTTATAGGCCAGCACGGGTGTGCCTATGGTAACACGGTCGTGCTGCCTGTGCTATGTAATCAATGCACGGCACTTGAACTTCCTTAACTCCTCGGACTTCGGTCAAGGCTAGCTCGGTTACGCATCAAGGGCTCGGGATCCGATTAAACTCGGTTGATATTACCTGAAAACACATCAAAAACAAACCGAAAACCCGTGAAGCACGTAATATGGGGAACGTAAGCATAACAAGGTAATAATCGGCCAAAGTGGCCCCAAATACATCCAAAATCATCCTAAAATATGCTCTAAAGCGCGCCCTAAAGTGCGCTTGTCAAAACCCCCCAAGCTACACTTTTGCTAGTCCTCGAGCAAAAACCAAGGGAAACACACACAAGATCAAATAAACTATGCCATTGCGAACAAATCAAATTAAGCACGGAATGAAATCAATGGATCCTACTTAGAACAACCATGCACGGAAGGAAAACTCACTCAAACAAGCAACGAGACACACAATCCAAGATATCGTTGATCAAATGCGAACAAGACCTAAACCAAGAATAGAGAACAAAGAAATCATGCTTCCCTCTAAACCCGACCAAACCGACCACGTCCTCCCCCTTTGCTTCAAATCACCACCCTAATTGGCCCCTCGTGATTCCTCGAAGGAACCGGAAGAAGTGATGTTTTGAGGAAATAACAAAGGTATCCCGACATCTCGATTACGCATAATCTTTCCATAGGGTTGAAAGGTATCTCCCTCCACCGTTTGAGAACCAAACACCTCTAAAGTCTAAGGGTCTTAAAGGGTTGTAATGTATTGGCAATGGGTAAGGTAGGTGAAAACAATTTAAAAAAAAAGTGGGGTTAATTCCTAAATGAAGCGCAAGAATCACAATTCTCAAAAACAATAGTTCAAAAGATGTAATTCACTTTCCACAATCTCATTGATTCACATTCTTACACATCCCAAATTATCCATATAATACACACTCAAATGACCTCTTTCAAACTTCAAAGCTTTATTTATGTGTCCTTGCCTTTTTCACAATTCGGACGGCTTTTCTCTTCTTCTTTTTTTCTTTTTAAATTCTTTTTTTTTCTTCCTTTTTTTTCTCTTTTTTTTTATTGATGGCAAAATGACTTTCACATTACATATTTACAATTAGGCTCACTTTCACACCTGCTCAAACCAACTATCAAACTTTATTTCTTGATTAGTAAACAATAAGCTCAACAAACCTATCTAGGTAAACGCTTCACAACTAAGGGTTGGTAAAACATTGGCCATCGGGTTTGTAACACGGTTAACCAAGAATGGAATTAAAGCTCAACATGGTTAGCAAGTAAGATGATGTAAAAGAAAATCAATTTGTAACAAAACAAAAGGAACAAAATAAGAAAAATGAAAAAGGTGCCCTCTTCCTCCCTTAAAAGTGTCAAGTCGGTCTCGGGAGCTACTAGTCAACACAAAGATCGAAAAATGCGTAATCAAGGATCCAAATATGCCACTCAACAAGAATGATGAAGGCTAGAACAAATAAACCTCACGGGATCTAACAAATAAAGCAACTACCAATCAAGGGGGTCAAATCCACAACCGGGAAGCGACTCCATCTTACCACAGCCCAAAGGCATAGAGTTTCACATGACAAAGGTGTTCTATTTCTACCCTTCGCCTAGGCTCGTCCACATTGATCAACAATAGACTCGAACTGTGTATTCATCACTGGCTTAAGTGGAAATAGACATTCCATACACATTCATTCACATTTCGAATCCAACATGAACAATATTCCAAAATTTTGCAATTAGACAAGTTTATTATGATCCAAAAACATAGGAAAAGACTACGAGGCATATCATATAAGCTAAACCACACATCCTCATAGCAGAAGCTTTTCCTATCTAACACAAACATATGTACAACTAAGCCAACTGAATAAGTTGAAAGGCACATAACGAGGCATAAAAATCACATAAAATCCCAATCGACAAACAAGTGATCGAATGATATCAACATCAACGATCCCAGGTTCCTTAGAACCGATCAAACATCCTCGAACCATTCAACTTCTTCCTAAACTAAACTATCCTAAGCACACAAAAAAAAAAAGGAAAAGATCTCACCAAATTTGCTTCCCGGGAGCTCCAATTAACGACCATAGCATCGTTCTTCAAACTCATGCCGCGTCTCGAATGTTCCCAATCTGCAAAAAGGAAAGACATACTAGCAAACAAGTTAAGGTTAGTCTAGGAAAGCAGTAAATCTTTTTTTTTTTTTTTTTTTTTTTTTTAGAATGAATACAAGTAAGACCCCCCCCCCCAAGCTAGAATCAAACATTGTCCTCAATGTTTATACATCAAGGACTTACAATAGTAAGGAGAGGGAGGTAACTAAAGGGAAAGGGAAAGGGATCACGAGCTAGGCCTGCCCGGGCCATAAGGGAAACGGGAGGCCATATCATCAACACTCCTCTTTAGGTCTCTGAAGGCGGAGGTCATATCCTCGTTCGACCGGCGCAAATCCGCTACCTCGAGCTTCAAATCTTCCATTCCTTTGCGGAGCAAGGCGAAGTCTTGCGCCGGGATCTGCTGGGCCGCATCCGGGCCACCCTCCTCGTCATCATCATCATCATCAGCATCGTCACCTCCTTGGCCCCCGTGGGCCTGCTCATCCCCCTGGTGAGGCTGGGGACTGCGGTCGACATACTCCGTGCCTCCGTCCTCGTGCCAGGCGAAGTCGGGGTCGAAGATCCAGTTGTCTTTGTTGTAAACCACCGTCCTCTTCGGATCGGGCAAGTAGGCGTATGGCTTGCCTGCTACGAGCCACAAATAGAAATCCGGCTGGGATGTCCCTTCAAGCCACTGCATGGCTCTCAAGGTGCGCATATCAAGCCTCGTAGTGCCTGGGATAGCCTGCAATTCAGAAAAATCAATCCCATTATATTGCGCAAGAATGGTGATCATGCCACCGATAGTAATATCACCCCTACCCCGGGCTACACCGTCGAGGTGGTCTAGTAACCACGCTCCCATGTCTAGACGTCCGTCCCCACGGGTGAGGTGCCAAATAAACTGTAACTCCCTAATGGAGACTACACCCGAACTATCTCCTCTAGCAAAGATAGTAGAGGAGAAGGTCCTGTGGGACAACCGAAAGGCGGGATTGACGATGGAAGTCGCCTTATCCCTACGGGGATCTCTATCCATTTTTCCCGTGATTTGCCGCCAAAACAACCCGGAGTTGTAGTGTTTTGAGTAGCCATCCTTAGGACCGTATTTCAGGTCGGATGTCCACCCAAAGGCGGCATTAACTTGGGCCACTGACATTTGAATGGTGCCCGAGTTCATTAGTTGAAAGGACAAGTACCGGGGTGAGTTATTCTCATCCCGATGCACGTACAAAGAAGACAAAAATTCGAGGGTAAGCCTCTTGTAAGTGAGAGCATGCATGGTAAGGAAAGAATCAAAGTTGGTAAATGAAAATAGTTGAACCATGTCGCTTTCGATCCCTATAGCCCTAGCGGCTAAAGGGTCGTAGAACTTGGTAGGCCGGATCGGTCGGTGGGATAATCCTACAAATTTGTCCAAAAAGGACGGGTTATTAAAAACAATACCCATGGTGTCCACCGTGGGTGGAACCATGGATGAGGATGCATCGTCCCGACCCGGCAACGACGCCATTTTGACGAGGGTTAAATCGGTCGCTACAATCTAACTCTCAATCAAACAATACTTATACGAACACCCTATAACCAAATACAATGGCAAATAAAGGTTCGGTCCACGAGGAACGAGAGTAATTGCAAATCAATCTTAAACCTAAGCTAGTTCGAAATCAATGGAAAATGCTGTTCTAAAATACTACTAATAAGATGGAATAAATCAATAAACTAAGACACTAGGGAGAACGGGAATCCGCCTAACCATTGGTAACTAAGCAACAAGGAATCACAGAGACAAACGGGATATGCAAAGACTATAAGTCTGATCAATATCATGTGATAGGAAGACAACGGGCAATACTAAGCTTGGATTTCTCATGCACTTAACATTACTCGATACATAATCAAACCACATTCAATAATGAAATACTCAATTTACAATCTCTTGTTCAAATCAAGAATATCATGCAATCAAATTCAAGATTCTAGGTTAGCTACTCCTATTATAATGAATTAACATGCAATCGCATATAATCAATTTAATCACAATCCGTTTATCAAAATCAATCCTCAATTACATAGATTACCTAGGCCGAGTTTCATCCCGAAACCCTAGCTAGGAGACTACTCACACATATTCATAATCAAAGCAATAATGAATTCCAAAAGCATAATAGATATAAACATGAATTCTGATTAAGGAATAATAAAGCTTGATTAATAAACAAGAATGAATAATACCAATTGTATTGATGCGAATCAATGGAAAAGTTCAGAACTTTGATATCCGTCGTCAATGAATAATACAAAGAATCTTCGCAAATCTTGCTTCAAATCAATCCAAGAAAACTAAAATCTCTAGAAATATCTCTAATAAAACTAATGAATCTCTAATACTAAGAACGTTCTCCAATAACTCTCTACAAAGGCTCTCAAAACTATCTCTAAAAAACTGTCTGAGGAATCCTCTTAAAGTTGGGCCTTATATACGTCTTCTAATGCAGAGAAGTCAAGCGCGCAGTTAACCCTGGATCAGCACGGCCGTGCTAGCTTGTCAGTAAGTAAACCGGATTTCTTCTTCAAATTGGCACGGTCGTGCTATATATGGCACGACCGTGCAACTTCCTGGCACGGCCGTGCTAAAAATGACACGGCCGTGCTGAATATGCTCTAGCACGGGGCTCATACTGAAGCTGACACGGGCACGGACAACATCTGGCACGGCCGTGCTAATGGCCTGCACGGCCGTGCGGGTGCGTGGATACTGACACGGCCGTGCTATTGGCTTGCACGGTCGTGCTGCCTTGCCTGGGGTTGCTTGCTTATAGGCCAGCACGGGTGTGCCTATGGTAACACGGCCGTGCTGCCTGTGCTATGTAATCAATGCACGGCACTTGAACTTCCTTAACTCCTCGGACTTCGGTCAAGGCTAGCTCGGTTACGCATCAAGGGCTCGGGATCCGATTAAACTCGGTTGATATTAACTGAAAACACATCAAAAACAAACCGAAAACCCGTGAAGCACGTAATATGGGGAACGTAAGCATAACAAGGTAATAATCGGCCAAAGCGGCCCCAAATAAATCCAAAATCATCCTAAAATATGCTCTAAAGCGCGCCCTAAAGTGCGCTTGTCATCAAGTTTGCAGTCCGGCTATATGAGGTATACTAAACATCATGCACTGATAATGTAATGTGTTGGCGTAAATTGTTAGTCACATATTGTATATATAGTGAGTGGAAAAATTCAAGCTCGCAGCCAAAAAGAAGCCGGAAAAGTAGCTATGAAACAATTGCAAGTAAGAATATACATATAGATATTTAACTTAAGTTAGCCTTGTTCAAAGCTTTTTTTTATTGAGGTTGCTTTTTCCTTTTGGGTTCGTTTTCTTAACGTCAAGAGCACCAGCTGCTACAGTTGGGCAACCTCTACCCTCTAAGCCTTTACAATTGCCTGACCCACAATATTGTTCCAAGTGCAATGCTAAGAAATTTGCTTATAAGTCTTTGCATTTTTGTTGTGGAAATGGCGATGTTCGAATTGCAGCAAATGAATACCCTGCTGAACTTACAAGACTTTTTACTTCGCAAGAAGAAATTGCTATTCATTTCAGAAAGTATGCAAGGTTATATAATAACCTATTTGCCTTCATCACTATAGGAGGGAATTTTGATGCTGATACATATAAGGGCATTTATGTGTTCAGATTGCGTGGACAACTATATCATTTTGTCCCAGATCTTTTGCCCGCTGATAGTAACCCTAAATATCTACAACTTTATTTTTATGATGGCCAAAATGAGACTGAGAATCGTTTAGGATGTTTTCCTGAACTAAGACAAGAAGTCATAGACATTTTAATGAATGTCTCTAAAGATAATCCTTGTGCTAGATTTTTTCAATCTTTGAAAGAAGTAGAAGTAAATGAAGATACTAAGATTGTCATAAATCGAGATACCGTGCTTGATCAACGAGTATATAATGCCCCAGCTTCTAATGAAGTTGCTGTGATTTGGCCTGATAACACTTCTTCAAGTGAAAGTTTAGGCCCACATATTCTTGTATCAGGTAATCAGCTGACTCTCATAGAATTCAGCATTATTACGGTTGCTATGATCCACTACAATATCCTTTGCTTTTTCCACGGGGAGAGTGTGGATGGAATCAAGGGCTGAAGAAAATGTCTCACGGTGGACATAGGCAAGATGATACCAAAGGTTGACCCTATTCACTCCTGTGTTGTGCACAATGTAGAAGATCTGCTTGCTCAAGAAGCTGCACATATGTCTTTTTTGATTTTTTTTAAAGTGAATTAAAGATGAAAGGATTTAGATAAAATTATTTTGCTCCATGTTTTAGTGCTGTCTAAGGATTTCATATCTTAACATTACCATGCTTATATTTATTATATAGGTGCATCTGGTAGACATACATACAAAGGCTGATAAATTTGTTTCTCCAAGAGAATATTATGCATATAAGTTGCAGATCAGACCTAACAACGTGCTTTTAAGGACAATGCTCCAGTACATCGTAGACATGTATGTGAAGATTGAAAATACGAGGCTTGATTTCTTCCGTCGACATCAAGATAGTATTCGAGCTGATCTATATCAAGGCATACTTGATACAGTTGAAGCTAGAGAGATTAATCCATCAAATGTAGGCCATAAATTTGTTTTACCGCCTACATTCCTTGGTGGTCCAAGGGATCTGAAAAGGCGTTACTATAATGCTATGGCTCTGGTTCACAGGTTTGGTAAGCCGGATTTATTTATCACAATGACGTGTAATGCAAATTGGCCAGAGGTAAATTGCACATGAGAGACCAGATTTAATAGCTCGGGTATTCAGAGCAAAATTATTAGCTCTGAAGAAGCCGATTATGGAGATTAAGGTATTTGGTGAGGTAGCTGCACTAATTTATGTTGTGGAATTCCAGAAAAGGGGGCTACCTCATGCTCATATTTTATTGATTCTGAAGTTGGAGTTCAAATTGAAAAGTCCAGCTGATTATGACAAGTATGTTTCTGCAGAAATTCCTCCCTTAAGTAATCCTATATTGCATAGGATTGTATTAAAACATATGATGCATGGGCCTTGTGGTCGAATGAATCCACAATGTTCTTGTATGCAGAAGAAAGGAGGTGAATTGTTATGCAAAAATAGCTATCCAAAACTGTTTCGGGGTTTTTTGATGTCCTTCGAGAGAGTTATAATTTCAAGACTGACTTCTGGACGCCTGTACCTGCAAAACAACGGAGACTCCGGTAGGTGGGAGCTCCGCCTCCAACGATCAAGTTAGAACGTGTATGAGGAGTAAAGTGCGGAAAGTAAAGGGTCTCTCATCTGCAATGTGTAATTGCTCAAGTACGAGGTGTGTCTCTGGAGAGTTAATGTGAATTGAATATTTCTGAATAGATGTTCCTCAAAAGGAAACATCTCCCTTTTATAGGGTGTTGGAAAACGTGCCCAATACTTGGTTTTAGTAAACCTAGGGCTGATTGGGTTTTGCCTGGAACTTTGGGCTGTAGGAGGCCACTTGCCCACTGCCATGTGTTGAGGCCTGATTGGTCCACCTTGGACCTCTCACGAGGTGACATGTGGCGGACTCTGATTGGTCCACGTGGATGACATGTGGCTGAACTTCATTGGTCCACGTGGCGAGGAAAAATCCCCTAATCAAAAACCATTTGTTGATCAAACCACTACTAATGAAGATGGTTATCCTTGCTACCGTAGAACAGATACGGGAGAAAAAGTAAAGATCAGAAATGGTGAACTGAATAATCAATGGGTAGTCCTATACAACCCATATCTTTCGACACTTTTTGACTGTCATCTTAATGTAGAGATCTGTTCCACCATAAAAGCAGTGAAGTTTCTATATAAGTATGTATACAAGGGTCATGATAAAGTGTCCTTTAATATAAAACCAGATGGTAGATACGTAGCTGATGAAATTACGAAGAACCAGTTAGGCAGGTGGGTGTCTTCGTGTGAGGTGGCATGGAGAAATTTTTTGTTTTGATTTATATGAAATGCACCCTCCTGCGGTGCATTTGCCTAATAGGCAGATGGTATGTGTGCACCCATACGAGCGTAAGGATGCTTAAATTATAAAGACCTGAATTCTAACCTATTTAGAATATATGCAAAGAAATTATTTTGTCAACATATATGATATTATTTTGAGAGAAGTGAACAAGAAAGCTGATTTGATGATGATTTTTTCAGTAATTTAATAAGTTGGGTTTTATCAGATGAGAACCTTAATTTAGTACTATTGCATCATTTCACAGAATTTATCTTATTTGATATTTCTTTGATCACAAATTCTTGAAAAAGGTCGGCTTACACTAACTTAGTGTAAAACCGGCCCACTTCTCCCTTGCCGTTTTTTTTTTCCGTTTTTTTTTTGTTTTTCATTTTAGCGCGTATACTCTTCTACTCTATTCTTCAATTTATTTCTCTGTTACTGCTCTGCAATTTCTCTCTCCTCCAATTTCTCTTCATCTTTCCTTTGTTTTGTTGATTTTCTTTAGTTGACGAATTGAATTTTGGATTCTCATCGGTTTTTGAGGTTAGTTTTTAAATTATTTTTGGTTTTAATTGCATAATTTTTGTTCATTAGTTGTTGTAATTATTGATTTGTTGTGGTTTTTCATTTTGCATGTGTATTATTAACTTGTAATTCTCTACTTTATTTCAATTTTTAAGTAGAATTCTTTGTTTTTGTTGTAATTTGTTGTATTCGTAAGTATATTAGTTTGATTTTTGGTTTTTTTTGTTTTTGATCGTAATTTTGTTCATATTTTATGGTTTTCTGGTTCATTGTGTTCATATTAGATTGAATGTTTTAGGTGTTACTATTTTTTTTTCAGTTTTTTCATGCATTTTGATTCAATTTGTTGTAGATGTCAGTATTTGATTAATTAATCATTCTTATTTTGAATTTTAGGGTCTAATTTCTTGAATTTGCGATGGTGAAGTTTAGAGGTGGTCTTTCAAATTTTCGAAGGAGACGTGGTTTGCGAAGCCCTATTGGTACGGTGGATCCGATGATGCTCGAGATTTTACCAATTCCTCTATTTATAGTTACAATTTATTGATTTTTGTACATATGTTAAAGTTACAAATTTAGTTGTTATAGTTATATAAATGTTTGCTTAAGTTACGCTTTATGTTTTATTATATGTCAAATTGTTTTATAAAAGTTATGTTTATTATAGTTATAGTCAAACTATTTTTAGTTAAAGTTATGTTAATCTTGAACTTCTGCATTTTGAGCTTGTTATAGTTATATAAATGTTTGCTTAAGTTATGCTTTATGTTTTATTATATGTCTGATTGTTTTATAAAATTTATGTTAATTATAGTTGTAGTTATACTTTTTTAGTTAAAGTTATGATTTACAGTTTAATACTATTTTTTCTATAGGTGCTAATGATGTAAGCAATGACGTTAATGTTGATGTGGAGAAGCGTGGAAAGAAGGGAGGTCGTGTAGAGGAGGTTGCAGTAAAGAAGGGTGTTGTGAAGGAAGTTGCAGTTAAGGAGGCTGCAGTAAAGAAGGGTGCAGTGAAGGAGGCTGCAGTTAAGAAAGGTGCAGTGAAGGAGGATAAAAGTGAGGATGAGGGTTCTCTGCAGGATGGAGGTGATAAGGATGAGGGTTCTGAATAGGATGAAGGTGATGATGAGGAGGGTTCTGAAGAGGGTGGAGGTGATGATGAGGAAGGTTCAGAAGAGGGTGGAGGTGATGATGAGGAGGGTTTAGAAGAGGATGAGGGTGATGATGAGAAGGGAAGTGAGGAAGATTCTGAACAAGAAGTAAGAGAGGAAGAATCTACTGAGAGAAATAAGAAAAAAAAAAGATTGAGTGTGAAAGCAAAGAAGCCAGTAAAGGATGATCGGCGTCCAGAGAAAATCCAGCAGGAGAAAAAGCTAGCTAAGGCATCCAATAATGCTCCCATTGAGAAAAAAACCAAAAAAAGATTATCGTCGTTCGGCCGAGAAGAAGCGGAAAATGGTGAAGGACAATATCTGCTGAGAAGGAGCCAATAAAGGATGAACGTTGTTGTTCTGAGAAGAAGCGGAGAGTGGTTGACAAGGCTGTCAAAATTGAAAATGGAAACAGACCGGATTCTGATGCTGAAGAAGATGAAGCTGTTGCAAGTATATCAGATAGGGATGATTCTGATTCGGATGTTGAAATGTAAGTACTCTTTTTAGAAGTTATTGTTATTATTTCTAAAGTTATGGATTATGCTCTTAAAGTTATGGATAATGCCCTTAAAGTTATGGACATTGTGTTAGTAAGATAGATGTGATAATTGACTTATATGCTGAAACAATATTTATGATAATTTTATGTAAAGTTATGGATAATGATATTAAAGCTATATTTTAGTACTTATTTATAGTTATAATTTTGTGGTTGCTAAAGTTGCATTTATTATTTCTAAAGTTGTATTTATTCTCTTTAAAGTTATAGTTGTTCATTTTTTTTTTATTCAGATTGGATAGGTTTTTCAGTACCCTTTGCAGATTGCACAACTTAGTAGATCTCATAGAAGGTTTTTCACATGAGCAAGTTAAATTTGTTATTGAAATAGGATTTGGTGGTTTGTTGGATTTAAAGTTGATTAGAATTGTTACAACTTTACTTCCTTGGTTGGTTGATCATTTTTATCTTGTTAGTTGGATGTTTTCTATAAGTCTTGGGAAGGAATTTGTTATTTCTCCCTATGATGTTTATGATGTATTTGAGTTACCATTGAATAATGGGATAGATGTTGTAGAGAGTACTAGAAGTACTGATCTTCAATTGAAACAAGAATAGAGGAGTATGTTTGATGTTGGTGGTAGTAAAGGCATACCTTTGCATAAATTAGAGGATAAGATTGTTCAGTTAAAGGATGGTGGGGAGTTTTTTAAGAGACTATTTGTGATGGTTGCTTTTGCTACCTTTTTAGCGCTTGTTGCAAATAGAAATGCTGATTTGAGTTTTGTTAAAGCTCTGGAAAATGTTGATGAAATTAAGAATTTCAATTGGTGTAAATATGTTCATGAAAGATTGTATAGGACTATTTTGAAGTATAAGAAAAGTAAGAGTCAAGACAGTGTTGGTGGTTGTATTTTGTTGTTGGAGGTTGTGTATTTTCTGAAGTTCAGGAATGAGGCACAAGATTGTAGTTTGCCTCTTATCAAACACTGGACTCATAAGAAAATCAATGATAGGGTGAAAAAAGAAATTAAAGCTAAGTCCTTTGGTTATGGTATTTTGAATACTACTACATACCTTATATATCACCTGCCTCTTCGAATTGCACCTAAAGAAGCTAAGCAAACTGAAGTTTCTCAAGTTGACAATGCTAATGATGCATCACTAGGAAAAAATATCATTAAATTTGATGTTCCTGATAGTATGACAGCTGATGAGGAAAATCACTCTGTTGCTATTGATGTAAGTTAAAAGTTGCACTTATTAATGCTAAAGTTATACTTATTGTAGCTAAAGTTATCTTTCTAATTATTATTCACTTATTAATGCTAAACTTATACTTTTAATGCTAAAAGTTATACTTATTGTAGCTAAAGTTATCTTTCTAATTATTCACTTATTATTTTTCAGGCTATTCATGAGCAATTTTTGTTGATGAAGAGGAATATGGAAGTTGTTACAAACTATCATTTGAAGAAGGTTGAAAATTTACTGAAGCATGATGTGGCTCGTGCTTCTAGTAGTTCATCTCCTGTCTTGTAAAGTCAGGATTATGATCCAAGAATGTTTGAGATTGCTGATGAAATTGTTGATATTGTGTTATCGGTGAAATTGCCTGGAGGTATTTCAATTATTGCTTGTGATGTGAATGTCGGGGGTGGGGAGAATGGTGGAAGGGTGGAAAATGTTCCTGAGTGATTTTGTTAATTGTGTTAGAATGTGATGGAAAAGATTAACCTGGAGTATGGTGAATGTTCTTTCTCATCTATAATCATGAATGCTTTGGGTAATGGTAAGGCAAAAATATCTGTTAGATGTGGGTCATGTGATGTTGAGTTTGTTGGACATATGATGAAAAGCAATAAGAAGTCTTAGAAAAAATTACCAAAGTTGTATTAAGAGATTGATGATTATTGCTTCTTAGATGATATTCAATTGTTGAATCAGTAAGTTATTTATATTTTAGTTAAAATTATATTGTTTTTGCTTAAAGTTATGTTTTTATTTCTTAAAATTATGTGTTTTTTTTTTGTTTTTTTTTTGTTTTTTTTTTAAAAAAAAAAAAAACTTTTTTTTGTTTATTTAGGGAGTGTTTGGTGTGGTTTGATCATACTCATAGTGTTCCAAGAAAAGATATGGTGTCTTTAGCTGCTAATTTGGAGATTTTCCAATCTGTTATTGAGTGTTGGGCAATGTTGCTTGCTGAGTGAGAATGAAAGAATGCGAGACAAAGGTCCTAAAAAATTTTGTTTTGGTGTTGAATGCAGTGTAAGTTTTATGTAAAGCTATATGTATTTTTCTTTTAATTGATGTTTGTATAGTTAATTCTTATCACTAGTAGAAAACTATAAATGGCAAGCGGTTTAAAACCTTAATGGGAAGCGGTTTTTGAACCGCTTGTGATTGGGGGGCTTCTCATTGCCATTTTAAATGGGAAGCGGCTTGAACCGCTTCCCATTTGAAGGGAATGGGAAGTGGTATAACGCCTGAAGCGCTCCCCATTATGGCTTTAAAATATTTTTTAAAAAAAAATTATATTTTCACAGAAAATCAGAAATTGATCCACAAAAATTAAACATATGTAAAAAAATATATATATTCACTAATAATTAATTTTAATATTACATTTTAATAAAAAAAAAATTAACCCTAAAACTACTGAAGCCACCACCGCACTGCAAACCAACGCCATTCTGCCATCGCCACTGCAACCACCGCCATTCTGCCACCACAACGGACAACAATTAAAAAAAAAAAATAGATCAAAAAATTTACTCATTATACAAATAAATTGAAACAAATTCATTTACACGTCAATAAATTTACAAACCCTAACCAAATTTCAACTCAAAAAATGCAAATAAACATAAATCTAACCAATTCAAAGCAATCTAACATAACCTAATAGTTCAGAATTGCATATAAAAGATGAAATTTGAAAAAAAACCTTGATCTAAATTCTTACCTAAATTAAAATTAGATCTGAAAAACGCCTGTGGTTCTCGGTGGGTGTCGCCTCGTCGGTGTTGTTGTTGGTGCTGCGTTGTTGCTCGGTGGTGCTTGCTCGGTGCGTTGTTACTCGGTGAGTCAGTGTTGTTGTTGGTGCTTGTTGTGGTGGGGGCTGCTCGGTGAGAAGAAGGAGATGAGGATGGAGAGGTGCGTGAGAAGGAGATGAGTAAGGAGAGATCCGTGAGGGAGGAGAATGGAGAGGAGGAGAGTGAAAGGAGAGATGCGTGAGGGAGATGAGGGGCATGAGAAGGAGATGAGAGGAGAGAGATGAGAATGTGAGAGTTAAGAGGAGGAGAGAGAAAGACCCGTATTATATTTTAGGAATGGGGAGCGGTTTAACATCAAACCGCTTCTAATTATAATATTTGGGAGCGGTTTAACCCAAAACCACTCCCCATTTGTATGTTTTAGTTTTTGTTTTTTTTTGGTAGGTTTTTGTGGATTTTTGGAAGCGGATTTTAATAACCGCTTCCTATTTGGAGCTTACCATTTACTTTTTTTCTACTAGTTTATGGATTTCCTTGTCTTATTGTTATTTAGGCTAACTTGGTAAATCTTTGGGATGATAAAAATGATATTGATGTTATGGATCAACTTAAAGTTTGTTGGAAGGAATGGATTCAAGTCACAAACAACAATTTTGATATCAGTGTTGTTGATTTGGTAATAATTATTTCTTTTTTTTTGTGTATTTTAAGTCATCATTTTTTTTTATTTCTAATTCTTTGTATTTTAAATTATAAATGATAGGTTTTTGTTCCTATTTATGTGTATCACCACTTCTGGGTTTTTGCGTTGAATATGAAGAAATAACCCATGCAATTATTAGACAATTTGGTTTATGAAGAAGCTACTATGAAAACTTATTAGGGAAATTTTACCCCGCCACGTCGACCAACCAGAGTCCGCCACGTGTCACCCAGGGAGGAGTCCAAAGTGGACCAATTAGGGCATAATACGTGACAGACAGATATCCAACTAGGAAGGGCGACTTTCAAAGGCCCAAACTCCTAGGCAGCCCAATCAGTCCTAGATTTCTGTAACCTAGGATTGGGATACGCTTCGAGACCCTATAAAAGGGAGATGTTCCCACCTAGGGAACGGGAGGGAAAAAATACGAGAGTAACGGCTCAGATATTGAGGCTGTCTATGATAGCCGGATGATCATTTCTCACCATAGAGAAATCTGATCCCACTTTACATTCCGCACTTTTTATCTTCCGAACACGTTATAACTTTATCGTTAGAGGCGGAACTCCACCCAACCGGAGTCTCCGTTGTTTTGCGGGTACAGGCGTTCGGAGTCCAGTCTTGGTGTTATAACTCTCCCGAGGGAGATAGAAAACCCCGAAACATTTTGCGCCGTTTGTGGGGAGAGTACTTCTATGATGGCTTCACATCAGTCTGTACAGCCTCCTAATCAAGTCAACCATCCGGACAGCCGTCTAGACAACCCCAGGCGGCAGAAGGCACGACCCTAATTACACGAGATGAACTTGTGAAACTCATGCCAAGTTTCAAGGGGGAGATAAAGGACCTGATCGACAAGAAGACGGTTGGCTCCAACGGGGTCAGTCGGCCAAAAAACTCTCTCTCTGAGAGGAACAAGCCGGGTCAGAGATCGATATCCGACTCCGCGTCTTAAATAAAAGGAGGGGAAGCGGCCCTTAATCGATCTTACAAAGGTCCGATTTCGTAGACAGGGACGAGGAAGGTCATTCGGCACGTCCAGCTGGATGGCACAAAGAAGACTTATTCTGATGCCCGAATGTTAATCCAGCAGAAGAAGAGTCAACAACTGTCTGAGTCGGCTTCAACGTTGAGTTACCCTAACAGCTTTTAGAATACCTCATTGAGGTATTCGCAATCAAACCGAGAGGGTCAGTCAGGCGGCCTGTCCGTCCACTCTGGCCCTTAGATAATCCATTCGGCTCCATAATTGCCTCAACAGCCATACATGTCGTATGGATAACCTTTACATGCAGCCGGCCCTCTTTGGGGGGCAAGCGGCACAAAACGTCCAACCTTTGGATTGGAAGCTCCGTCTGCTAAAATTTAGGGAACAACCTTCTGTGTTCTCCAAGGAAATAACCGAGGCGACACAGTCGACCAAGGTTAAAAATGTTATGGTAAGTACTTATGATGGTACCACCAACCCAGAAGATCACCTCATGGCTTACACCAACCTCTTGTATTTACAAGGGTTGGATGATGTCACATGGTGTCGATGCTTCCCGGCCACATTGAAGGGCGTCACCTAACGATGGTTCGGCAACCTACCGACCGGATGCATCAACAACTTTAAGACGCTTGCGTACTTGTTTGCTTCCAACTTCTCTATGAACATCCCTGCTAAGAAAATAAGTCTTGACTTGGGTGCAATTCAATAGGGATATAGAAAAGGCCTACAGTCATAAATCAGGCGGTTCAATCTGATGAGAATTTATATTCAAGGGATGTCTGATGAAGTGGCCTATACAGACCTTTTCAAAGGTCTGAAAGACGGGTCGACCTTAAAATTCGACCTCGTTAGAAAGAGGGTTGCTACCCTCCAAGAAGCTCTAATGGAGGCGGAAGCCTATATATAGGCGACCAAACTCTGTAACATCAGTAAGCAGTCGGACTCCAAGATGTCAGACAAAAAAAAGAGCCGGTCATCACAGCCGGCTAAATATGATGAAAATAAAAAGAGAAAAGAGATTTGGGAGGATGATGGCTATGAGCACCTGTCCCAGAAGAAAAAGAAGGATTCTAAACCGTACATCCCAAAAGTACGAGTTTAAAAAGGACTTTACTCCATCCTCATGGAGATCAAAGACCAGGTGACCATTGAGAAGTCGGCTGCTATAAAAGGTTCCACCAAAAACCGAAACAAAAACAAGTAATTCCATTTCCATGAAGATATTGGCCATGACACCAACGACTGCTATAGTCTTAAGCGACTGTTGGACCGTGAAAGGAATGGTGTCCTTCCAACAGGTGTATTATTTCGGTAGAGGGTTCAGAATTATTGGAAAGTTAATTCTTCAGTAAGGTCAAGTGATCGGAATGCCTAGGTGGAGGCCGCTTCCGATCAGTAATATTAATGTATAATTAATATTACAGCTTAATATTAACTGAACCCTTCGGGTCAAACCTAATCGATCAACTGATCCGAGACGACGAATTAATCCGAAGGATTTGATGAGTCATCAGAGTTTAACGAACAAAGATGTCGGATATTGAGCTTAGAGCGTCGAGACCGAGCGTCGCAAGTCGAGTCGAATTTAGAATTTGATGAGACGTGAAATTAATCAAGTAACAAGTTCGAGCCTAGTCGTAGTCTCGCATTGGCCTAGCCATGTGAGTGCTAGGCTAGGTAAGGTCCCAAGCAAACCGTGTCTAGCAACCCCTAGCACACGCACATCGCATGGCACAAGCATCGCAAGATGTGTGCATGCGTGTGGTGTGGCTGTGCATGCGTGGCTAGGCATATCCATCGCATCGTGCTAGGCACGAGCTAGCACTGCTCGTAAGCATCGCATGCATGGTGCGTGCTTGCTAGCATGCTAGGCCAAGCCCCAGCCATCGCTAGCCGCAAGCATCGCAGCATGCTAGTAGTGTGCTGGGCTGTGCGTGCTGGCATGCTACGACCTGGCGCTGGCGCATTGCTTTCGCGCATCGCACAACACCACGCACCAGCCAGCGGCGTGTTTGGCATGCTGGGATGTGCATGTGTGCTAGCAGGCAACATCACTCTATGCGTGCTAGGCCTCGCATAGCAGCAGCGCACAACAACGCGCACCGAGCAGCAGCGAGGCATGCGTGCTGGCTGGCCTTGTGCTGGCTGGCTGTGCATGCATTGCAGCTGGCTGTGCGTGTGTGCTAGGTGGCTGGCTGGGCTGCCCAGCCTTGGTGCTAGGCGCCAACTGGCAGCCTTGGCAGCCAAGGCAGGCTGCCAGCCAGCCACATGGCTTGGTGATCCGGTTTTGTGAATGGGGACTAATAGTTGGTCTTTGCCTTGGGAAGCAAGGTGGGTTGGTCCCCTCCCTTGGTGGTCCTCACGTTCTCCCTCACCTCCCATTGCCACTTGTAACTTGTTGATTGAATTGCAATTTTATTTTGTTTTGATTACAATAAAGTAAGGGAAATTGCAAATCTCCCACATTGATTGAGAATGGAAAATCAAGGTTCATTTCCCTAAAAATACCCAAGTTTTGGGATTTGGGAAGAACACTTGAGTGGAACTAAAAAGGCATCTCCTTAGAAAAGTGAGAAATACTTAAGTTCGTAAAACTCTAGTTTTTATTGGTCAAGTCTCGACTAACCTTCGGGACTAGGACCGTTCAGGTTGGGTTCGTGGGTACGAGCCGTTGGACACCTTCACATTTGCGGGGTTCAAGTTTTGAAGTAAGAGCTCGGGATCGAGCGAAGCACGCGCCATGGGTATGAATTTCTTTTCCTTCTTTATGTTAATTGTTGTTTAATTTGTGATTGCGTGCTTAGTTGCCTTAATTAGTGGGCGGGTCTTGGACGAGTTTCTCTTTCGCGTAGAGTTGGACTCTAAGAAACCCAACAGAC